ATTTGAATCACGGTATTCCAATCTTCAGGCATGAGAAAAAGAAGTTGGAAATGAAATGTTACTTTCACTTTTTGTGCATGCAAATGAAATATCCTTATCAGATTGTCTGGAGTAGGCTTAGAGGTATTGTTGGCTATCCAACTCGAGCAGGAACACCCCCTCATTGGTTGCAAAGAGCCATGTTGGTTGGAAGCGCTCATTTTGTTGGTAGCGATGTAACTGTAATACATGCATTTCACAGTTTGTGAACCAGTGAAGGGCAGTCCCTACCAAAGGAGCCTGCATTGCTAGGAAAATTGCATGGTCCAGCTTGGGGCCCTTCGTGAAAGCAGGTTGATTATGTACGTGTATGATCTTGTTATTTTGGTTGTTGGAATTCCTCAGTTAGGTTCATGAAATCATCCTTGACTCTTCTCTTGTCAAGGTTGTGGATCTCTACCGCAATATCTTATCAGTGATCCATTTCCGTCTGGGCGCTGTGGGCCAGTCCTTCCCTGCTGACCAGGAGTTGTATGGTTACCTAAACGACGTAAGTTAGTAGTTAAGGATGTGTATTGTGTGCAGGCGTGCATTGTTCCATCAACAGGCATTTCTCCTTCTGTTCCTCTAGAGCCTTCAAGCCCCTCTCCCATCTTTATAACCTCTGCACCCCCAAAAATTAAAAAGTGTGAACTTTTCCCATTGCTGATTACATTTCAGAAACACTTCTTCTCCGATGAAGTGAAGATCATTAGTGTGTATTTTCTTATTGTTATTTCGAAAATAGGATTTTTTCATTTGTCAGTATTAACAATGAGGATTTGATCAACAAAGAAAGTTTAATTAAACTGTATTGCCCAAACTACTTTCTATTGTATTTTCCCGTCATTTATGTACATGTACATACAGATATTCAAGGCTTGTGTGTCTATAAGTGAGCATAACAGCATGGTATTGACGATCACCAAGGGAGCGGTGAGTGTTCCACTTTCCATTATTTCTGTTGGAATATTCAATTACAATTGGTTTTTGTTTTGTTTCAAATCTAGGTTGATGTTTTAAGGGTTTGAAGGGTTGTTGATTATTTGAAAGGGCTTGAAGCAAGGTGAACAAAATGCCAAGAATTCTGTGGAAATCAATCAAAAATCACCTGTTCTGAATCCGTCACATTTTTGTATGGGTCTAGCATAAGACTTCACAAGTGCTCACAAGTATGTCACAAGTCACTGGCAAGTCATCTAGTCTTGAGTCAAGTCACAAGCCATTCAGATGGCCAGCAAAAGAAGCATTCTTGTGTTTTCATTCAGCCCCAAGTCTGTGTCCAGGCTGCTGAATTGGTAAACTGAAGCTAAAGTTAGCTGAAGACTCTATGAGAGATTAGTCAGCACATGATGATTGTCTGGAATCTGACAATTTACACAGTGTCCGTGGACTTTGCCTTTCAAGATTGTGTTTACCAGGCCAGTTTAAGACCAAAAAGAAGGAAGCACCAGAAGCCGAATACTACTTGAGAACTAGGCCAGTCACATGTACATATAAGGACATTGTCAGCATACACGTATGTTTTTTGTACATATTAAGTGCAGTATCAAAGGCTATAAATGCTTCGTACCTGTTCATTACTGTGTGAGCCTGGTCATCACTCAAAGTTGGTTCAATTTTCCCGGATATTTTTCCTGTGCAATTTTGGGCCCTCAGAACTCTGCTTGCACTTGAATTTTTCTGACAAATTTTGAGCTATTTACATATTTAGTTACATTATAGAAGTAATAAGTGATCTAAAGGACTGTCTTGACTAGTCCTTGACTAGTTAGAGGACGTTCATTTGCATTTTCACCATGACATGGTTTCTCAATCTTCTTACAGCCCCCAGACACTATTCTACTAGTGACTGTCCAAGAAGCCAGAGATCTTGTTGGTAAAGATGTCAGCGGTAAGTTGTGAATGATGGGGTCATCATGTCAGATTAGAATAAACGAGGCTAATTGAAGAGTAACATTATAATTTTCTTTCATGAAGAATAATTTCTTTGACTGATACGTGAGCTGATTAGATTTCAACTTGGAAGTAGCGTTACTTTTGTAAATTGTACCAGAACAGTGTACGGCGCTCTTTATCTTTCCCCACGAGAGCTCCAGTAAAAGTCTACTTTTCAGAGCCACAGACAGCACCGCCAAGCAGTCTCTTATGATATGTAATTGTTTGGAAATGCTTTATCGCACCGGATGCAAACATGAACACAGTCTGCAAAGTTTGATCTTGTTCAACTTTGCCAGCTGTCTGTGTCAGGTTGGGTAGGCCCTTAAGGGGACCCCCTACGTGCGTTTCAACACACGTTCTTGTGCTGCTTTTGAGGAGGCGTACTCCCATGTTGATTGATAGTCATACATTGTCAGGACCCAAAGTTTGAGGAGGTACTCAGAAGTCCCTACAACTCTGTTCACATTTTCCTGACAAAGAAAATCTACGGCATGGATTGCCATAGGAAAGGGGCAGTCAAATTTGTGTGTTTGGTGCAGAGTTTGTGTGAATGCTTTTCATCTGAATGGGCACAAAGTCACAGCATCTGCTCATGAGCGACAAGCGCACGGCAGCCATTTTGTTTATTGTTTATGCCAGCAATGTATATTTCTCTCTTTTGGTCACTCATCTTAGGGAAAGTGACCCTGGCTATTGCACATTTTTTAATGTCCATCTTCAGGACTGAGCGATCCATTCTGTGTGATGGGCATCCTGCCGACGGGAGAATCCAAGAAGCCTTTTGTCACCCATTCCAGAGGGTCGCAGGGCACTTGCTCTGCCCATTCCCAGCATCACGGGCATAAAGGCGGCCACAGCTGCCCAGATCTCCAGTCCACGAGCATTGTCAAAGAGCAACTGAACCCCAAGTGGAATGAGAACTTTCGCTTGTGAGTAACAGCGTTGATTAGACTATGTAGGATCTGTCCGAGCCCACTGCGATTTAACAGTTTGCTTTAGCACCCATTTTTTTAGACGGCGGGTACTTACATGTATCTGTCACTGGCAAAATTAACTTACTATTAGTGAGCCGGCTGCAAGTCGATAGTGCCCTCTTTGATATATATGTACAAGTAAGCCTATAAAGGTTATTAAATTCTCACTAAATTCCAATTAAGACCAGTGGTCGAGTGGATAGTGGGCCCATATTGAGATCACAGGATACCTACAGTAGTTGGCTTTCTTTTGTTATTCCTAAAATTTAAGAATTTTCTTCTTTTGTTCATTTTAAATTAACCCCAAAATTCTGTTACGGAGTATTTCATTTTCTTTTTCTGATTTGTGGCTCTGGATGATTTTTTTTTAATGGAAAAAAGTCTGACATTGTAAAATGGTCCGATCGGCACCATGTTAATACAAAGTCACAACAACTGTGTTGGTTCGGAACATGATAGAATTATGTTGCATTCGAAAATGAAAAGTATCAAAGATTCCCAAGTCAATATAAAATGCCTGAATACTAAAAAAACTGTGCCAACTTGTTACATTAGAACTGCGGCATTTCTTTGAGAATTGCCTCCGCATATGATGTATATATCAAATGAGGAAGCTCGGGTATGGATTTCAGAAGTAAGGCAAATCATGCAAATGGTCATTCTGGAAAGGTAATTTTCAATTTTGTATTTAAAATTTCTTTCAAATTGTAATGAATTATGACAGAATTAAATTGGATGTGAGGAAATGGTAATGGTAAATAAGGGTAATGTGATGATTGGTTTGTTTCATAATTTGGGTATTTAATTATATGATAAGAGGGAGTACAACATAGCAGTGATTAATGCAAGTTTGTTTTTTTTCCAGTGTTCTAGAATGTGATGTTCATACAGCGTGGTTTCATATTGATGTTTGGTAAGTCAACGGTACAAATTTGAATATGGAAAAAAAATTTTGAGGCATGGTATATGGTCTTACCCCCTTTGGACATAATGGAACAACCAGTGGCACATGTGTTGGATGCAGTATTATTGGCTGTTCCGTTTATTTATAGGGACCATGATGAGGAAACTACTGTCATGGAAGTGGTGAAGAAGTCAGGAGATATTCAGAATGTCAAAGGAGTAAAAAGGTAACCACTTTGTACTTTTTGGCCAGTTTCAAACCTTGTCTTCAAATCTGACCTTTGACCTGGAATATGCAATTTCAGAGGTCCTTCCGTAGTACCCGCCTTGAGCAGAAGCACCCCCTCATCAGTTGAAAAAGCCACGTTGGTAGGGATAGTTAATTTTGTTGGTAGCAGTGGAACCACACATGCATTTCATGGTTGTTTGTGAACCAGCAAAGTGCAGTTAACACCAAAGGAGCCTCATGGCTTGGAAAACAGCATCCTGACTTGGTCCCCCTCGGACCTCATATTGAAAGAATGGATAAAGCAACAAGACCCTTATTTCAGCATTGCAACCAATCAGTCTATGTGTAGTGTAGTGGCTAAGAGTCAGTCAGAGTTAGTCGCTCAAACGTACATGTGCGTGGACTTCTGTTTACCCTTCCACTCAACCAGAAATCCTTCTTTCATCAACTTGAACTTTGTAACAATCATAGCCTGGATTCAGAGAAAGACTATCAGTCAATGTCTGAACTTGGATGTCCGTTATAAATAATCCAGCCTTTTGAATTTTGCACTGCAGACCTGCTTTTGACAGCGGTAAGTGTGTTTACATGTTGAGATGGTCTTTATGTGTGTTTTATGGTTGCATCTAAGATAAAGTGTTAGGCATGGTCTGGTTTTGTGACAAGTGTTGTGTTGATGGAGAGCTGCTGGGACTATATAATTTTTTTTCCCCCCCCTTCAACCCGTGGAGTCGGTCTCGTTATCTTGGATCTTTGTCACGTGGTGTGTTGTTGTAAATGTGTGGGGGTGATGACACGTTTGATTTTAGTTTTTAGTCCAGCAGTTACCTATTTATTAATTCATGCAGTTGTGGGCAACTATTCTGGTAACAAAAACTGATGCACTGGCTGGTAGTCTGCATGCTACATGTAGATTTGGAGATCTTTGGGGTAGAATAAGTTATTATTAGTTTTTTTTTTCTAATGTATGTCTTGACCCTGTTTTAAAAAAGACACTGCTTAAAGTTTTTTTGTTGCGAATTTCCTCCTTTTTGTTTAAATCCTGGGTTGCTTGTTTGTATGTGCATTACCGGCACTAGTTACCCTGTTGTGATTTTGTGGTCTGACTTGCCAAGCCCTCAAGTACACAAAATGCAGTGCTAGTCTGCATACATGCAGACTAGTTAAATACATGCACATTTGCAGATTGCCCCTGCGTCAGAGGTCGTAACGACCAGACCTGGCGGTTTTTCTCAGATTTTTCGTGTCCAAGTGAAAGTGTCTTCAAACTCTGCTAGGGGTTCACCTTCCTGATTTTGCTCTCGTTGTTGTCATGAGGCAAAATGCATTTAAAATGATGTTCAGAAGAGCTCCAGAACTTACGGGTGGTTTCAAAAATCAACAGACCAATTGGGATAACAGACCAATCCATTAAGTCCCGCCCCATTCTGTTCTGACCAATCACAGCCGTGATTTATGTCCCACATGTGTGCACAGAAGTCTGACCTGTGCATGCGCGTATGATGCACACAGCTGGAACTTTTACGTTTGGAGCAAAAAGTTTACGTACACCTGGTAGAATATAAAAGTTTTCCTCAAATTTTCCTCAACTTTTAGTTTCATTAGGACTGACAAGATGGGTCTCTTCTTAATGTACGTGGTGTATGCATCAAATAAAACACCCAGAGACATACATATGAATCATATTTATATTTACAACCAAAAAAATTACATACTAATACTTAGTGCCACTTTCTGTATTTTTGTCACATATCATAGTCGCAATGGACCACTTTCTGAAGTGTTTTTGAATGGCAATTGGGGGTAAATGTGAATTTTCACAAATGATTTTTCAGAAATATTAATATTTTGAACCGTAATTAATGTCTCTGAGAGTTTTTAATTGAAGTGCACGCTATTAACATTAAGTTGAGATTAGATTTGTCTGACCTGATAAAGCAAATGTTGGCAACACAATTTCAAACATTGAAAAGTTGAGGGAAACTAGTTTTCTACCAAGTGTGCATGCATGTCAACGTTTTGCCCCAAGTGTACATGTGGTGTGGCTTTGGAGAAAAGCATGTATTAAGTGCCCATGTGCAGAGTGGGCGGGGCTTACTGGATCGGTCTATTGTCTCATTTTATTGAAGTGCACCATCTCCAATCCCAGATACCCAAATCCATGTTGATGTTTTGCTTGCTTGGTCATTAAGGATGTAGGCTTCTGATTTTTCTATGTATTCCCAGCTTGATTCCTTTTTATTCAGCAATGTGAGAAGTTTTTGCTATTTTTAAATCTAAACCGAAAACTGAAGTCTCTTTTTGGTGCTTTGGGTCTAATGGCTAAACATACATGTAACTGTTGAACCCTTGCCAGTATAATGCAGTCCTACTTTGTTCCATCAATTGTTGAGTGTCGTGAGTTTTTAATATGTTGAGGCAGAAATAATATCAAGAAGGCAAGCAACTTTTCACTCGTCTGGAACAACAAATGCAGAGAAATGTAGCAAAAGTGTTAACGTTTTCAACAACAGTTACATCTTTACACGTTACCCAAACCTGTCAACATCCAGTGGGCAGCAGATTGGATAGGTACCATAGTAATGATGTAAAAAGGCAAGGGAAATTGTTAATGTTGGATAATGTTACCCATTTGTTAACCCCAGATTGTTGAAGGAGGTGATCCAATCAACGAGGCTCGGCGGGAGCAACCCAGATGATTTCCTGGGATACGTCAACATCAAACTGGATGTGAGTCGCAGACGCTTTGGGACAGGGTGTCTTTTTCCGTCATTCACGAATGTCATGGGCGCTTGAAATAGGCATATGGTAGAAGAGATGCCTTTGTCGATGACAGTTTGGAGGGCATGACAAGTGTGTATCGCATAAAGTCCCATTTGCATGTGTCATGGTAAAGGCTTGCTTCCAATGGCACGTACTGAGTGCAGCTGATATCAGTGGGAGACTTGAGATGTTTAGACGCTTGATGGCATCAAATATACTGGTCCTTCCTACCAGTTCCAAGCATGTGCGCGTTGTTCAGAGCATGCTTGCGTACATTTACATGTAGTTCTGAGCGTGTGCATTACTGCTCAAAAAGTCACAGTCTCCCACGCATCAGTGAGTGCACTCAGTAGCCTTTCAGTCCAGCGGATCCACCATCAAGCTAGCCGTTCTGCTCCAGTGCACCCTTAGCATCCTCTCCTGTGCTTAAAACCAGCATCCTCAGAGCCAGGCAACCAGTCACCCTCCAGAAGACAAACAGAGCATGCTGTTCAGAACGTCGAATGTCCACCATCGGTTCTCAGAACCACACACTCATAAAAGAGAGATTTTCTTGTACATTGGGTGTTTTATTGGCGCAACATTCATCAGTACTCCCATGATAACAAAGTATCCCTATTAAGAATGATGCCAACTTACTCTACAGTTTCACTGTTACACATCTATATGGGCTATACTACCAATGTACAGTAGTGATTGCTTTGAATTTTTGTTTTAAATCTAGACTATTCCTAGCTGGGGCTGGAGCGCTTGGTTCTCACTGAAGAGCAAGTCAAGTCGGTCAAAGTCGAAAAGTGGAGAAATCTACCTCAAGCTCAAAATGTCTCTACAGGTATGGCAGACTGGCTCCCTCTTTATCTGGTGTGCAGTCATGTTTGAGTACATGGACATCGCCATTGGAACCAGACTATTTAAGTTATAAACCTCTCTTTTTGTTCACAAACTTGACTTTTGACCTCGGCAACAGAAGTAGGCTCGGTAGAATAGTACCTGCAGATTTTTCAAGCAAAAGTAAAAGTTTGGAATTGAAAGTTTCTAAATTAATATTTGCCTGTTGCCCCCCACTTTCAAAGACAGGTTTTTTATCAGTAATCCACTTCTCTTTCTTCAATTTTTTTTTTCTCAGCGTGCCAATCAGTCATACCAGGTGCTGAGTCCAACTATGGTCCATCGGGTGCTGTGGTTTTACATTGTTCATCACGAGGTAGCCAAGCTGGACCAGCTAGGAGCGTGGGACGGCGAGCTACCGGCCAAAGCCAAGACCATCCTGCAACAGCATGCCGTGCAGTACGAGATTTCTGACTTGCATCAGGCCCTGTGGTAGGTACAGTGTGAGCCCCCGGAGAGGAGTTTGCATTTCTGTTATTTTAGAGTCTTCCTTTACTGAACAACCTAGAATCGGCTGTGTTAGCCCTTATTTGTTCCTGAGTGGGACAGGTTTTTTTGTGAGACAGCATGCACAGGCATTGCGAAGACTACTTTTATAATGTCAGGAAATCTGGAGCAGGAATACAATTGAGTTCCGTCGTCACTGTACAGAATGTTTTGCAATTCTGGCTCTGGAGGCCTGTGGAAGGTACAATTTTGCATGGAACCCTCCAGAAGCAGGCATGCCATTCAGCGTCAACACACAAGTTGCATCAACAAAGTGTCAACAACTTCAAAATACCGTCTACAGATTTAAAAATGGTTTTATCATATTTTAGAGACTCTGACACCTGTCACTGTGTCAGAGAAACACCAAATTTGCTCCAGATTCTCGCTGGAGAAGGAAACATTTTTTGGATGTATGGAGCCACCGTTTTTCTTTCCTCTGCCATCCACACAAAAACAAGGTGGTCCCTAGGATGCATGTGATATTAAATGTACAGTTCATTGTTTGAAATTATCCAAAAGTAACTGACAAATTTATCGTTGAAAAGCACACTTGGTTTAAAGATGGTTGTTGGACTTAACTCCTTGTAAAATTATTCTTTCTGGCCATTTTCAATAATGTGCCTAAAGACGCTTTTTTTTTTGGAAATTGCAATGAGAAGCACAGCCAATCATTGACATGACACATATGCAGGCACGATTAATATCATTCGTCAGTTCATTGCATGGCATCACCTAGCTGCATTCAACCCAACACAAGAACATGTCCCAAACACTGAATTCGGGCGCAATTTAAAACTTGACTCGCCAACTGTTGATCTGAAATCAAAATCATAGAATATTGTTATTCTCAGAATACACTGTATTCACCGAGTTGAAACTTTACCAGTTTTGGTCTTAGGCACCCTTCTTTAGATTGTGAGTAATTTCTTAAAGGAGCATAATGCACGAATGACAAATGACAGACTGTACCTTTTAAATGCAAATGAAATGAGTCTTGAAAACCCTTCTGGGTTTAAAGATCTTCAAATTTGGTGGTTTTCATATGAGCCATTTTGAAAATCTTTTTTTTATTTGCTCAGAACTATTGACGTAGTTGATGTAGAAAGTTAATCTGTCCCAGGGACCTAGATAGCTCTTATCAATAACAGTATAAGAATGAATATTCATAGATATCTCCAACAGTGTCCCTATTCAACAACGTGTAACTTGACGTTGTGTTAATATTTGATAATGCCGGCTGAGACGTGATAATGCCCGCTGTATAAATCATTCGCCTGGCACCTGGGTACAAGACATTTTAATCAATTCTGATTGGTCAAAAGTTGGTATGCCACGCACACGCAATTGGACAATTTGCACAAGGAATATTTCATAGGATGGACAAGGGTGTTCGGGAAAATGAGAGTAAAATTTTCTCTAAAACTCAATGCAGATAATTAGTCACGTCTAAAGCTATTCCCATATTGATTTCTCCGTATTGAGTGCTTGATGAATTGCATACGAGATCTTTTTATGTTGACAGTCGATGGCTAGCATACAGTCAAGAGTGCACCATGTGCGTCATTGACTTCAGGTCATTCTACACATACGGGGAGACTCTCAAAAAGTCATGGAAGCCCTACGCCCTGTCTGCAGACGAGGTGAGTTATAGGCTGCGTAATCCTAATGTTTGAAATGCAGATAACTATCACTTGCTTGGAAGAAAATAACGGCAAGGGGTCAGTGAGTTTTGAAGAGAAAAGTTTCGTGTGGGTGCCATTTTTTGGGGGGCCATATTTGCTCAATGTGTGGAAAGTGGAGCGTATGACTCTGAAATAATCTCGCATCAGTAGTGGCCAAGTGGTTGGGCTTTGTTACTCCAGTTGTTGGGTCAGGGTTCAAGTCCAGCAGCTGGTCACATGTTGGTACCTTAGGCAAGTCAGTTTACACCCCTCCTGCCTCTAAGGAGTATATCAAGGGCTAGCTGGTATTGTAGAGGCCAGATATGGGATGATATTTCTTTGCTGAAATGGAAATCCATTAAGCCCTACTCCATTGTTTTCTGACCAGCCATAGCCAGGATATATGTGCAACACGTGTGCACAAACATCTGACGTTTGTGAACATGTGTATGATGTACACTACGGGAACATATAGAGTGGCATTGGAGAAGAGCATGTACTATGTGAGCATGTTGGGCAGGGCTTACTGGACCGGTCTATTGGTCTTGTGGTCTGACGAATGGGTGAATAGAAATAGTAATAATAATCAGTTATATGTACTAGTTACTAAAAACAGCAATACTGTACAGCTTGGTATAGGTGCACTTTATAAAATACACATCATTAACCCTAACAGTACCCGGCGTTGCTTGGCTTGGATTACTCAGTACTACAAAATACTATGTAACCCTCTGAGCTTGAGTACCTAGTGCTACAAATTACTATTTCTATGTAGGTTTATTCCGTTGTTACTCCTACAGGTGCACTTCATAAAATACACGTCATTAACCCTAACAGTACCGGGCGTTGTTTGGCTAAGAGTACTCAGTACTACAAAATGCTATGTAACCCTTTGAGCCTGAGTACCTAGCGCTACAAATTACTACTTCTGGCTAGGTTTATTCTATTGTTATTCGTACAGAGAACGATGAAACCATGCATTCATAGTGCCACAGCACTGTATGGTACATTATCTTCTCGATTGTATCTTATGGCTTCAGAGAATAATCATGTCATGTCCTCTTACAAGCGGCAGGGCTGAGTACTACATTTTACTACTAAGTAGTACATTGTAGCATTCGGGACTGTTAGGGTTAAAGATCTCTCTTCTCATCAGGAACTTTTTTGAAACAACTGCCTCCCAATTTATGTGACTTGGGCAATATCCAAAAGGAAAGAAGTTGATGGGTTTATTTTAATGTGGTTTGAAATGCTGTGGACCCCACAGCTTACAAATCTCTTGAAATGTTCTCAACTCCTTGCGGATCAACAGGAGCAGTATCTCCAGAGCTCCTTCCATGGTTTTATCACCTACGCACTGTACATGCTACGCCGGCAGCAGGACATGTTCCCACCCACAAACAAGCCAGCTCTCCGAAGGCTGCGGTACCTGCTACTGTAAGTCAGACAGGCTTCGGATCATTAGAAGATACCGTCTCCCTAAGGCCTGTGAAAGTGACGTTTGCAATACCCACTGGAATGCAGGATCGAGTCCAGTATTTTCAACAATTCTGTGACTGAACCAAACCAGAGGTCTGCTGGATTTTTGAACTGATTTGGGTTATTAACATGTCCACTACTCCATTTAAAGTTTCATTGTAGCAGGCCATCTGTTCATACCTAATATAGGCTTGGTCTTTAACCGACCCTCCTTAATCCTCCAAAATCCTTTGGTTGGTTTTGGAGGATATTGGAGGATTGAGAGTGAATGGCAAAAGCGCACAGTTGATTGCGAAGGATGCCTCTTTTGTTAGTCGCCTCTTCTCTTCTACTCTCAGGGGGAATGGAATGAATTAGTCAACAAATTGTCTCCTCTTCTACCCTATTGGCTGAAACGGTTGGACTTGATGTTGTCAGGGAGCCCTTCTGCGGTGTGACAATGACTTCCATTCCACTTATTGTGTTTTCCTTGATTTTCTTTTCCACCACCTGCAGATGTCTTTCACAGATCAATGATATGGAATTTGCCGAGCGGAACATGCTGTTTCAACCCAACTGTCAGGCCATCATCCTCGATGCCATCAAGGTACGAGACTTCCATTCACCTTCCTCCTTCCTGTCAATGCCTGCTACAGGCTCAAGTGTTTTCAGTCCACAACCAACATCGCTCCTGTTGGAATGAAACCAGTAATTGTCATTTTGAAGGCATCACAAAACGCCCGACGTTTTTATGGCTTATCAGTCATTTTTACATCCATTGACTTTGAAATCCTGCTGTGGTGGATGAAAGAATATGTGAAGTGGTAAAATTCAATCAATCAGTGGTGAGCCGAGATAGGGAACTATTGTTCCCATCCTCTTGACTCAGAAATGTTTGCTCTGTTAACCCCTTGATGACGGGAATTTCTTTCC